AATTTGTGTAGATTCTCCATAGTCATTATTTTTGCTTTTCTTTATGTTCAACAATAAGCTTGCCTTTGCACTTTAATCTTTAGTAGTTGTTCCAGTTTTGTGAGGTTTCCAGCTAGTATTATGGTGTCATCTGTGTATCTTAAATTGTTGATATTCCTTCCTCCTATTTTCGCTCCCCCTTTTTCTGTGTACAAGCCTCCTTTTTTTTACAAAATGTTCTTCATATAATTTGAACAGGTAGCGTGATAAGATACAGCCTTGTCTGACCCCTTTTCCAATTGGGAACCATTCTGTTTCTCCATGTTCTGTTCTGACAGTGGCCTCTTTTCCTTAATACTTTATTGAACTACTTTGTTGTTCCCTAAAGAATTCTGAAAACTAAGGAAAGCCTGGAAATCATCATTTGAGAGTGCTAAGGATTCTCCCTGTCAGATTCGAGCATGCCCTGCACCTACACCCAAATTACTGTTCCTTTGGGAGAGAGAAAACAGCTGTTCAATCATTTTAGGATTATAGTGCCCATATATACTGAGTGGCTTAGCACAAGTTTCTTTCCCTTTTCAAATTGTTTAGGGTTATCAGTTGGTCTCATTCACCACAATTCTGAGTACACCAGAATATCTGTGACAGTAGAATATGGATCAAAAACCTTACACCACCAATAAAGGAGAGAATAGGAAATAAATCTTTGCTCAGCAATTCTTAATTCTTCCCCTCCATCAAAGATGTTGACCAAGTGCCTGTAGTGGACAGAACTCTATAGCTAATAATAGTTAGATAACTGAATTTTAGGCTTTCTGTGTGTGTGTGTGTGTCCCATTACTGGCACTAAGATGTACCAGATTCTGTCCATTATGCCAAAAAGGGGAGATCTTTCTGATAAGGATGCCTCTAAATAATTATTCTCTTCCCCCCCCCCATGAACTGCTATGTATTCAATAGACTTTCCACTAAAAAACAGTACTCAGAACAACTAACAATATGACAAAAAATAACATTAACAAAGGTAAAACTAAAACAAGCTCATCAATTTTTTAAAAATGTGAATAATCTGTATAAATGTGTGATTAAAAATTGAATGTACTATTAGTTTTTGTTTTTAAACTAGAATTCTGAAATATGGGAAAACTGTATTGTCTACTAAGTACTCAGATTAGAAAAGATTACTGTCTGATAGACAAATAGCTGTTGAACTGCCACTTTTGTTGTCTATGCTAAAATGAACTACTGTATTTTCCGAGGTATAAGATGACTGGGCGTATAAGACGACCCCAAACTTTTCCAGTTAAAATATAAGAGTTTGGGATATACTCGCTGTATAAAACTACTCTGCCAACGCACACCAAATAAAAATGTTAAAAAAAACCCATTTGATTTCAATATGGTAATTTTAGTTCAAATGCTTATGACATACAGGTACTTAGCACTTATAAACACAACAAACTACAGCTCCCATGTTCCTAGCATTTATT